GCCCAATTTGGTCTGGGCCCGAGGTGGGCTGAATAGCCGGCGACTACTGTATAGTTTGCTTTCCATGAAGTAAATAAATGCAAATACAATGCTTTTATTTATTGCTACTTACTTTTATTTAAAATACTAGAGAAAGCGCACTAATTTCTTGTTCTTCTTCCTAAGGTGTATTCGAGATGATCAATGGACTGCGCATGTACTACCTCAAGCAGGGTCACATTCCCCAGCTACCGGAGGAATTCCGTTACGCTGAAAATATTTTTGACCCACTCGACATTCTGGCCTTTTATATAATCGACGAGAACTTCCTGCATCCTCTTCTTTTACAGGCGACGGCCTTTGAATACCAGGTTAGGCGCTATGTGTTTTGAGGTCAAATATGCCCAGTTATGCGCTTTTGTCGTCTGCCATGAAGCTAGTTCAGGATGTTTAAGAGTAATTGAGCATTGCCCTCAAAAACCCTATTAAGTACGAGAAAGTATTTAGGCTACAGCAAATGTGTTACTAAAAGGAAAGGACCAACACATTCAATTTGGATAAAATTATGTTCGTAAATGTGGGCATCAAAGCCCAGGCCCCATGAAGGATCATGGATAACTTGAAATAAATAGGTATGAACAAATAAATAGACATCTCGTTTATGTTTGAATGCCACCAACGTGCAATGGCAAACAGAACCCATGTTGCCTTTTTGGGTGCACTGAGGCAATGAGAGGAGGGCTTTGACGATGACAAAATTGTGATGCCAGTGTCTTTTTGTTGGGTTATGTTTGACAGCGTAACCTATAGAGAGGTATACGTTATAGCTCAGTTGTTATAACCCGACTAGTAGGCAGAAGAAGACAGGAGAGCGTGCCTGATAGCGAAGGCTTTATTCAACATCACACAAAGACATCAAGGTTAACGGGGTTCTTTAGTTTGTCCACTCCGGTTTATTTATAAGATTCCGGTCTTCCTAGCACATTCGTGGCGTATGGTGTGCGAGCGGGCATTTTGAAAATTTATAGACCGCGGTCACTTCCCACGCTATGTGGGCGATCGTCACGTTTGCTCGAAGCACGTCATGGGCGGCTTGCATGCGGGCATGGCCCAGTTGGCTTGTTCTCTTCGCCGACGGCCGTTAGGACGTGGCGG